TTGTAGGCAGCTTTTCCAAATTCAAGTTATTTCAACATGAAAGAATGATGGCAGGCATAAACTTATCAATAATAGGCGACCTATTACTGATTTATGAAATTTGTGAAATCAAAACACCATGTAGATCCAGAGATTGATTGATTGTGCTTTGGCATTTGCTTTCTCACATTTCAAATGCCAACATATGTCGACATTATGAAATAATTTATAGTAAATCTGTTGATGCCACTAACTGGCAACTACAGAAGAAAAATATATTTAAATGTTTATTTGCAGCTTAAGGTAAAACATCTATAAATGCATATAAAGTTTATATTCAGGTCTTTCTGCACTTTAGCACACTTTAAAATATTAGAGCACATTGAATTGTATTCATAAAATGTTATATTATAGATATATTTGTTTTCCAGGAGCAATAGTTTTGCCCAAGGCAGAATGTCAGCACATATAGAATCAGTTTGCTTGTGTTAGAAATGACCTAGAGGTCTTAATCCAGGGAGTCTCATTCAACAGGCTTGTGGGTTCATAAGCTCCTGAAGTGTATTGGTTTGTATATTAGCTTCCTATTGCCACTGTAACAAATTACGACAAATTTAGTGGTTTAAAACACTGCAAATGTATTACTTTATAGTTCTGTAATTAAAAGAACAGTATATAGTTACTACTCTTCTGGCACAGGTCAGACACAGATCTCAGTGGGCTAAAAGCAAGGTGTTAGCAGAGCTGTGTTCCTTCCGGAGGCTCTTGGAGAGAGTCCATTTCCTGGATTTTTTCAGTTTCTAGGGACTGCCCACATTCCTTAGCTCATGACCCCCTTATCTTCAAAGCTAGCCATGGCTGATCGAGTCTTTCTCAGGCTGCATAACTCTGACACTTTTTGACACTCCTTTTCTGTTGTCACTTTGCCTTCCCTCTGACTCGGATTCCTTCTGCAACCCTTTTATAAGCACCCTCGTGATTACATTGGGCCCACATAGATAATCCAGGATTATATCTCCACATCTCAAAATCCTTACCTTGATCCATCTGCAAAGTCTCTTTTGCCATATTGAGTCACATTCACAGGTTCCAGGGATATGGACATCCTCAGGGAGCCATTATTTAGCCTACGACAGTATTGAGAACTCTGAGGTATGTGAGCTGGTGTCTGTGTGTATGCACTGGATATGTCCTCAAAAAAGCTTCCCCAGAATGGCTCTTCAAAGGGATCTGTGATTCAAAATGGTTTAATCAACCACCTTTGCAATTTAATCACCCTCTCCTTTCTCATAGAGGGGAAAATTGAAGTCCCAGAGAGATTGACTTGTGCAAGACAACATAAATGATAGGAGATGGTGTTTTCCTGATCCCTGTTTTGACACTTCATAACTATGGCCTACCCAAAATAAATGGACAGATTACAGTAGTGCCATGCCTATGCCATGCATGAGAAAGAGAACACCTGAGACTCCAGAGCAGGTGTGTGGTTAGTCTGCAGCGAATAGAATCATTGCCACTGGCTGTTGGGGAGATTGGGTCCAATGTGATGTCCCAGTGGGGGTGGACAGGTGACTTTGCTAAGAAGCTTAGTGCCTTGAAAGTAGGCCCTGATGTATGCAGGTATGATTTAGGTGGAAAGAGAGCGGCTTATGTGATATGGCAACACACAGAGCCCAGGATGTTTCAGTTATTCATTGACAGAAGTATTTGGAATATCCTCCTAACACCTACAAGGCCTTGGAAGATTGATAACATATCTCACTGCTGTATTCCAGCACAGTGCTGCAGAGGGCAGGATCCAGGGCTGGATTCTGGCTGCAAATCTTATGTGACCCTTGGCACATTGCTTAATTTCTCTGTATCTCAATTACTTCTCTGTATCTTAATTACTCAATGAATTAATAAAGAATTAATGTTATTTAATGTCATTTCAGCAACTTACTGTCAATAGGTGACTATTTGTCACTGTGTCGAAAGGTGTAACTAGGATAATTTGTTGAAAGTAACTGGCATACAGTGAGCACTACATATTATTTTTAATGCTACTGCCATCACCACAAATGGGCGCAGACACCTGTTTTGACCACTAGGTGGCAGAAGAGGAAACCATACTTGAAATTCACGCGTTTTGTTTTGTTCCTGAAATTCCGGTATACTGAAATTACAGAAGCTTAATCATACTTGGTTGTTAGTGCAGAAAAATAATTCAGGTCAGGAATAATACAGTTTGCCTCTCTGTATTCATTGCTCTTCGGTCCAGACATCACATTTATGGATTTACGCCCCCCAGCTGAAGAAGCCAGTTGTGTAGCTGTCTACGCTCCTCAGCCTGCCAGTATCTGTTCTTTGCTGACTGGTACTAATTTTCCATAGACTCTATTTAGAAGTTAAAGTTGTATTTCCACACCTTATGTTTTCGAGATAGCAAAAACCTACCTAGTCTTGCATTCAGAAGGCCTTTGGTTGGCCATGATACTTCAAACTGTTATAGGATTAATGTGATTTCCTTTTGTGCTACAAACCAAATGCAAGAAAACAACTAGTAAAATCTCACTGTTGTTTATTACAATCATGCATAGAATTTGTACAGAAAATGAATGGAAGACTGAGAACAGAGAAAAGAGACAGAGAGAAGGACAGAGTATAAATTAGGTTCTACAATTCAGCTTTGGAAAACAAAGAAAGTTGAGTAAAACACATCTACACATTGGTTTGTATTTGCCTCCTAGGAAGGAGGCAACTTAGGTCATGGTGGCACTGTGGAGGAGCTAATGAAATTAAGAAAGGAGCAGATTTATATATGTCAAGCTCCAGGTTTGATGTGGTAGCCAAAGGCATTTGGTAGCAAAATATAAAGTAGTATTAGCACATAATTACTTTAATTATATGTTTTATAATTACGTAAATCCATTAAGCATAAAGGGGAAGGAGTACCATGTTCATAATGAAAAAGTTTCATTTAACTAGCTGTGGAACAAAAAATGCTACAGACCATAGCCCCCCCCAAAATACTAAAAATTCAATTTATTTGATCTGAGATAAATAATGTACTGTATCATGAAATCCCAGGGGTATGTACTACCTTTTAAGTGTTCACATAGATGCTATAAATCACTCTGAAGCCATGTAGAAGAGCCAATGAATACTTAGAGTCTTTTGCCAGAAAGTTATAGAAGATCATGATTAACTGGCTCAAAATATAAAATTTTTATATCATGCACTAAAAGAGTTTGATGTAGAAAGGGCTTCAGAAGCTAGTGGATATAGTTTCCTGGTATTAGGGTATAAACAACTATTAATCTTCTTTCTGATGATGTAATGCTATAACTTCAAATATTCTTTGATTTTGTTGTTAACCGAAAATCTTATTGAAGAGTCTTTACTGTGGTATAGTTCCTGACAACTAATAAATTAATTCTGAGCATGGTTGAAAGTGTCCATTTAACTAGTATATTCCAATACAGAGGGATATAAAAAATTATCAGGTATATAGAAACAGAATTTTAGAACTGGAGCATTAGAACTGGAGCAGACCTTAGGGAACAAAATGGAAGTGACATTCCATATTTACACAGCTCATTTGTATCAGAGTGAAACTAGAACCCTAGTTGCCTTCCACAACGTACTTCTATTTGTATTTTTAGCATTCTTCATGTAATGTCATGGCTTTCCTTGATGACTTGAAAAAGTGGAATGCCAGTAAATGTCTTCAGAGAAAGCTCAGATTCAGAGTTGGGGATATTTTCCTTCCAAGAGAAGTAACCTGGGTCTACTACCATTTCAGAAAGCTGTGTGCATGTTGACCTGTATATATATAAACATAAACATAAAAATCATACTTGGTGTAAAAGAGACCTTAAGCACTTATTTAGTTCAGTTATTTTCTTCCAAGAGGTAAAACATTATCATCCCTTTTCATTGAATAGATAAAAAAAATCCAGGCCCCAGGGAGATGGACTGATTTTTCCTAGGTCAGATGACAGATGAGTAATGGTGAGGGCAGGACAGTTCTCCCAGCAAAGAACTACAATATGCAGTCTCTTGTTGGAGTACAAAACAAAACCTGAAAACATTTGAATTTCTTTAAAAATCATTTTCTGCTTCTTCTTCTTAAGTTCAAGGACCCAGAACTTTATACAAAATAGAACCTTCCATAATTGTGTAAAAGTAGATTACCAAGTAATTGATTGCATTTTAGATAGTATAGTCAAGTTCCTTGGTCTCCTTGAAAGTGAATCTTGAAAACTGGATTGACTATTGGCAGTTGGTCCACTGTCCAGTAAGTATTGTTTTGACTAAAGAAATAAATAGAAGCCCTCAGATAGCTTGTTTTTGCTAATGAGCAAGTTGCTTGAGTGAATGTAGCAAAAATCAGGCAAAAGTCACTATGTATCACAGAAATAATCTAGATAAATTAGAAAATTGTCCAGATACTGTAGGCTGCATTTAGTAAAGCCAGGCAGAGCAACGTCAGGCAGAAATTATTCTCTTTTGGAGTTACAGATAATGGATATACAAGTACAGATTGCAGTTTTGGTTTCACAAATGGATTTTGAGGGCAAAGGTGCAATTTGGTAATGAAAAGGTACAAATGGTATCTCTGTAGTAGAGCACAGTGGAGAAGCTTTCCAGAAGAAACTTTATATGTAGTGGCCATAAAAATGCTCCTAGTATGGAGGTGCTACAAATAACATGATACTAATAATGATACAATAATATATCATTGTCCCCAGGTTGTAGTAGGGTAACTCAAGACCTTCCTGCATGGGCTTCTCCCTCACATGTTACCGGATTAGAAAGGGGTTTCTGTCCTGCTTCCCAAAAGGTCAGATATTTAGGTCTGAAGAAAGAGGGGGAGGCTGCGAAAAGTTCTGGATATTATATAAAGGTGGAAACTGAAAAACCAGAAAATAGAGGCAGGAAAAACAGTGATAGAAGACATGGAATGCAAAAGAAAAAGAGAGAAAGTAACATTTATTAGCATCTATTTTGATGAAAGACACAGTGCTGAACACTTTGTATTCTCATGTTTAATTCTCATAATAACTCCAGGAGGTAGCTACAATGTGCAGATGACAAAATAGCACGCAGAAATATTAATTTCCACACAGCTACTAAGTAACACAACACAGATGCAAATTTCCACGTGACTTCACATTCCACTCTAGGCATTACCAGACCATTGGCAAAATTTCAAAACGAGAGATTGGCACAATTATCTAATAAATTGATTTTAGAAATAATATTTGAGATGGACTTACGTAAACAAATATCAGAAGAGAAAGAAAAAGATGAAGAGATTACATTGAAACACCCTGATCATAAAAGCCAAGTATCTGCTAAGCAACCTGACTCGAGAAAGGTGCTGTAATCAAGGTTTTAATTCAATACCTCTTGATCTATCTTCCTCATTATCCTCATCCACCCTATTTCCAAGGGAGCTATAGTGACCTCGCAAGTCATCACCCATGCATAAAAGAGTGGGTACTGAAATATCTTTCCAGTCCTGACAAGAAGGAATACGGATGTGTTTGACATCTTCACTCCCGGGAATGAAGCCAAATAGCTGCTTTATGCGGTGCATGATGAGGAGCCGAGAGTGCTGCTCTGCTGCTTGTTCAAAGAGTTCTCTCTCATTCTGGAGGTGGCTGGTCCAGTAGCAATGTTGCAGAGAGGTGAGGGGAGAGCAGCACCTTGCCACACAGCAGGAGACTAAGACAGCAATGGTTGCCAAGGTGATCAAAATCCAACCCAGCATCTTCACATCATTATTAAAAAGAAAAACAGGAAGTATCAATACATCAAATATTCAAGCAACAGCCATGGGAGGAGGGATTCCTACAAACCTAAGAACTAAAATATGGGCATAAAATTTGCTTTTCCCATCTTTAATATATCAACAACGTTTTAATGATATGATTTGGAAATAGATCTCATGGAGGGCATAGGCCCAGCCATTTCAGTTTGGTTTTTGAGTTACAAAGAAATTTGACCAGTTAACTTGGAATGGAATCTAAATACTGTCCTTGAAGTGACAGATGCTATAACCCACCAATTAACCTTACATATGATATATACCTTTCTTTGCTTTTAGTTCAACCTTACTTCTCAACTCTCAGGTACAGGCCTATGCATTCTTTGAGTGTTTAATAAATATTTGATAATGATGGTGACGAAAATGATACGATACATAATAATAGTAACCTTCTAAGGTGTCTTCAATGATGTACTAACAGGCATTCATTGATATTTCTTCCTGAATTGCTCTTTCCTCTTTTTGCAGCTAAAAAGCAAGTCAGTGAACAGACTCATGTATCTAAATGTATTCTAAATAGCATAGTTGGCTGGGTATGGTGGCTCATACTTGTAATCTCAGCACTTTGGGAGTTCAGGCAGGTGGATCACTTGAGGCCAGGAGTTCGAGACCAGCCTGGCCAACATGGTGAAACCCTATCTCTACTAAAAATACAAAAATTAGTCGGGCATGGTGGCACATGCCTATAATTCCAGGCACTCAGGAGGCTGAGGCACGAGAACTGCTTGAATCCAGAAGTCAGAGGTTGCACTGAACCCAGATCATGCCATAAAAATGCTCTGGTGACAGAGACTCCATCTCAAAAAAAAAAAAAAAAAAAAAAAGACAAAAAAAATAAATAGCATAGTCACTGTGCCATGTAGTACATTATTGTTTTCCTTTTCATTTCCCTTGTCCTCAAATAATCATTTGCTGACCAGTTTCATTATGTGTCTTTGAAACATACTTTAAAAGGAAAATGAACTAGTTTTTGAGACTATTTAGTGTTGGCTTTTAAACAGACTCAAATGGCTGTTTTTTATTCTTAGAATCTTTTTTTTTCTTTTCATTTTACTGTTTTCAATATTTGGCACTTCTTATGTTAAGTGAGAGAGGTAAGTTCCGCATATTTGGGGATGGTAGCAGTATGCAGTCACAGTTTGGGTATTGAAGGCCTCTTCTGCATCTTATGATTTATCAACAGGCCTGGAGTTTCCAGTGTGTGCACAGTGGGATAGTTGTAGTCTATGGAGGTTAAAACCTACAAAGTGATATTTATTACCATTTAACTAAACAGAGGCCAGCATGGCGGAGGAAAAGCCATCCCAGATGCCCATTAATCTATAAGCAATCATTTACTGAGCTCCAGGTTGACCTTCCCCCGTGTGTAATACATATGCTTGGTTATGGGGAACTCAGATGTGAATAATTAAAGATGCATTCATTTTCTCTATGATTTTTAAGCCTGAAAAGGGAGACAAATGAGCAAGCCAAGAAATATAACACAATGGGATAGTTTTTGATATGAGTAATCAGAGCACCCAAGAAAGCACAATGGAATGAACTCACTTAAGGGAAAGGAGTATCAGGGAATACTTTCCAGAGGAGATAATGCAAAAGCCTAAATTATTAAAAAGAAGTTCACCAGATGCAAGAAGGTAAAGCGAGTTCTAAGAAGGTAAAGAAAAATAGCATGAATAGTTGGCAGAACCTCAAGACATTTGGACTCACATGCTCGTAGGAGTCATGTAAAAGTGGTCAAGGGCAAGATGTTGAAGCCTTGTATGTTATGCCAAGAAATTGGGTTTGTTCTTAGGCTAGTAGAAAATCACTGAAGGGCTTCATATGCAGTAGGGAAGGGATTTCATCATTCAATTTGCACTTAGAAAGGTATTTTTGGCATATGTCTAGGAGGTAGATTGAAATGGGGTGAAGTTAATGTCAGGAAGATATTTTAGAATGGGGCATGGGCAAAGAAGATATTTGAATTTAAGGCGATTTTGTGGTCAACTCAAAAATCTAACTGAAAAATAACGTATATTAATGAAATGTGATTGAAGGTTGAGACAGTCACAGAAGACGGCCTAGTGAAAAGGAAATAGCATGATCTTGGGATATCTTGATCCAGTTTATTAGCCCTGAATTATACAAGTTACATAAACTTTTTGAGCTTTGATTTACTTATCTGTAAAATGGGGTAGTAATATCCATCTCTCAATATTATCAGAACTAGAATTAAGATATGAAATATTTATACAGTATATGAAAAGTACATCAATAAATGTAAGTTTTGTTGTCACAAAACCAAACAACCTACTGGCAATGGTACTCAGAACTGTAAAAGTATCTTTTCCATAAATTTGTGTATGCATTTAATAACACATTTTATTTTGACTTTAAGAAAATCTTACCAATGCATATTACAATTTAGCTTTCCTTAAGCAAGAAAATTATTTTAAGTTATACTTTATTCATTTTTTGAATTTTCACATATTTTTACATAGCTCCTCTGTCTGAGCATTAGGGCTAGTATTTTAAAAGTTAAGACACAGCATATCTAATGGTATTTCTAACTTTTTAAAAACTGGGCCATATTACAGTAACTTGATATTCTGTGTCTTGATGGTAGCTTTTCCCAACTAAATAACTTTAGCATTTCTAAAATGTAGTAACTCTAAGATTACCAGTGAAAAAATATGCATGCCTTTGCAATAAGTAGTTTTAAAAAGCTATGCTTTTACTATATGACAGTGGTTTCAAAATGTGTTTTTTCCTCAAATCCCTTGAAGAAATTGATGACAGCCAATGTCACTCTTTCTACTGATAAAATGCACAATAGCACTTTAAAAATTTAACCTTTAAATGTAGTAGGGTTCAGGCTTTCTTCCCACCCCACCCCACTTTCTGACATAAACCTATCCATAGACACCAAATTTAGAATCACAACTGGAATTATTTTTCATTATAATTAAGCTTCCTATAATTTTAGATGAGATAGTAATATATAAGAATGCATATTTAAGAATATAAAGAAAGGTGGGATTTACTAATATAGCAATAATATTCATTATAACATCTAAAATCTATTGTTCTTAATATAGATTCTAGAAATCATATCAAACACTTCCGATATATTGGTAAATGTATTCCTCACAACAACCCCATGTGGTAGGTGCCATTAATATCACCATTTTACTCAAGGTTTTGCAGGTTAATAAGTGGCAAAGCAAGACTAAAACTCAGTTCTGCTGACTCCAAAGCCCAACATCCTAACTATGTATATTCGCTCAGTAGAACTCACTTTGATGGACAGTATCTAGTATTGTATTCTATAATCAGAGAATATGAGAAGCAGTAGGAATCTGCAATGTTTCCAGTGACTGTAGTTCTATGGGGTAACACAGCAGGGGGAAAAAAATCTACTTACCTGTGACTGGTATCTGTGCAGAAGAGCTATTTCATCTCTTACCAGGATCACGTCAGAAGGAGCTGATTTGCAACATGGAAACCCAGCTAGGATCTCTTCTCGTTTGCTGGCACTGACATTATCAAATATCGGGTAATGGTCCACAGATGCAAATTCACTTGCTGCACATTCATAGTACGTGCCTGTCAGCAGGGTCACCGCCAACCAGGTTAAAGGAGCAACAACTGCCCTCCCAGTGATGCTGAAGAACCTAAGGCAAGCCAGCTTGCACTCTAGGGGGCTGATTCTCCTGTATGGAGGGACACAGCTGCAGCAGTATTCACCAGTAATTGTCCACATTTGGCTTCTCAGAGCAAAGCCAGCAATCAGAAGGATCAAGGCAGGAATGACAAGAAAAGCAGAACCATAATAGAAATTTTTTCCAACCTGACAAGGACAGCTGAATGTGGAAGAGGAGAAGAGCTGTTGCCCACCAACAGTCAAGGCTGCAATTAAAGAATTGATAAATATACCATTTCTCTGCAGAGAAGACACAATACTGTTGAGAGTTGGGCACATCGTGGGAAGCTCTTACACAAATCAGCTTGTGGCCTTCTCTGATCACTAGACTCCACCAGCTATAACCATTTTATGGGATCTTACTGGTTTAACTGGTTGTGTCAAGTGATCCAACATCCTTACATGTTTAAAGGATTCTAGCATCTTTCCTTGTGTACTTTGAAAACGCTGAGCTCGGATTGATTTCAGCTGAAAGAAATTGAGGGCGAGCTCCTTTAGGTATGAGTGAAGGGAGGAATTTCTTTTTTTTACTATAATTATAAAGGAGGCTTGCTTAGAAAGCAGGCTGCCTCCATCTTTCTGTGTGCTGCTTTGTATGACACAAAATGCTGAGCACCAGCAAATAGAGCATTGAAAGCAAAACGAGACATTCTTAACCTTGTACTGGACCAGCATCTTGTCACCATAAAATTATAATAAAATTATTAATGGAAATTATTAAATACTAGAGCAATCCAAAATTTAGGGCTGGCTGGAATGTTCCTAAGGGTTCTGCTAGAAGAGCTCAAAAGATTTCCCAAAGGAAAGAACAAGGCTAGATGCCCCTAAAGCCAAATCACAACAAAATATTCTAACTTTGCATAAAAATTTTAAATCTGCTTGCATTCACAGAATATTGCTATGTGCTGCTTAAAAATTTAGGTTGCAGATTTGTTTATAGGTATCTTTTTGTTATATGAAAATGTGATTTTTTTTTTTTTTTGAGACAGAGTCTTGCTCTGTTGCCCAGGCTAGAGTGCAGTGACCCGATTTCGGCTCACTGCAAGCTCCGCCTCCCAGGGTTCACAGCATTCTCCTGCCTCAGCCTCCCAAGTAGCTGGGATTACAGGCGCCTGCCACCTCGCCTGGCTAATTTTTTTTGTATTTTTAGTAGAGACGGGGTTTCACCGTATTAGCCAGGATGGTCTTGATCTCCTGACCTCGTGATCTGCCCACCTTGGCCTCCCAAAGTGCTGGGATTAAAGGTGTGAGACACCACACCTGGCTGATATTTGGTTTTTAATAAAGTTATATATCTGAAAACAAAAAGTAAGATGTAAGATGTTTTCTTTGTGTATTTAACCAGTAAATATTTATTATAGAATTTCAATATAAAGGGCACCGAAATAGATTTGACTGGGTTTATACAAAGTGAATATGATATACATTTCTCTTCTCAAATAAACTTTTAACTGAACATGGTTAAACACATAATTAGTGAATGGAAATGTAGTACTGAGAAATTCACCCAAAATGCAGTATAAACAAACAAAGAAATAAAATAATTATTTTTGAAAACAGTTAAGCAACTACACAATATGTCTAGTAGGAGTTCTGGAAGAAAAAAGGAAGGAATAGACAGGTAATATTTGAAGAAGAAATAACTGAGAACTTTGCAGAATCAAAGAAAAGTTCTTATATCCAAAGAATGTTGGGTATTCTGAGCAATATACAGAAAAATAAATGCACAACTAAACAGAGTAAAACTGCAGAATGTGAAAAATAAAGAGATATTCTTTAAAACTATCAGAAAGAAAAAAACAGATAATCTACAAAAGAAGGGCAATGACTGACAGCAGATTTCTCATCAATAACAATAAAGACCAGAAGACATTATCTTCAGAGTGCTTAATACCAGCCAAACTATCATTCAAGACTGAGCAAAATAAGGACACATTAAGGCTAAGGGAATTTACCATCCACAGAACCTCATTAGGAGGGTTACTAAAGGATATATTACAGCAAAAAGAAAAATGAGCCCTGAGGAGAGACACAGGAGCAAAAAATAATGATGGGCACAAGTATAATCTTTTAAAAGTCCATTCACTTCAGAAATAACTAATTTTTATTACAAAAGTTACAACTAAGGCAATATATTATTATAATAAGATGTCACTACATATCTACTAAAATATCTAAAATAAAAAGACTAGCCATACCAAATGTTGGCAAGGAGGCAGAGCAACTGAAATTCTCATATACTCATGGTGGGAATGTGAAATGGAGTAACAACTTTGGAAAACTGTCATTTTATTTAAAAGGTAGCCATACATCTGCCATATAACATAAGCACTTGTCTCTTAGTTACTTACACAAGAGAAATGAAAGCACATGTCCACATGAAAACTTGTAGATGAATGTCCATAGCAACCCTATTTAGAATAGCCAAAAGCTGGAAACAACCCAAATATTCATCAACAAAGGAATGAATCAACAAAGTATTATACATTCATACAATGGAATACTACTCAGCAAAAAAAAAAAAAAAAAAGATAAAACGATTGAAAGTAACGGCAAAAACCACAATTACATTTGTGCCAACCTAATATATATTAATAACATGAATGAATTCAGAAATAATTTTCTGGATGAAATAATTCAGGAAAAGTAGTATATAGTGTATGATTCTTTTAATGTAAAATTTTAGGAAATGTAAATTAATCTATACCAACAGAAAACAGACCAGTGCTTGCCTAGGAAGTCTGGAAGTAGGGATAAGAAGAGAGGGATTACAAAGGAATATGAGAAATATCCCTTTGTAATTCTGGGGTTGTATCAACTTGTGCCGCGGAATTTTAATTTAAGGAGGTGACTGAGTGACAACACAAAGAGGCCAATGCCATTTAAATAATTTATTGCCACATAAGATCATGGGGGCACATCAGGTTTGGTCAGGGGACAAGAGGTGGCAGGGAAAGCCTAGCTAGAGCCTCTATTGGGCACTCTGTGGAAAAGGCAAGGAGGTCAGGGAAGACACTTAGGGTTGACTAACTTAAACAATTCTGATTGGCCTTGGGCCACAGAGGCTATCCCTACTTGCCTGTGACCTGGCCATAGTTTATTTAAGGGAGGGTAAATATTGGCTTGGTAAATGAAAATTAGATAAGGAAATGGTTCAGATTATGGGCTTTGATCACAGGGGTGATGTAAGCAACTTGGCCATTATTTGACCTTGTAATTAATGGATGCCAAATAGACAAATACAGAATCTGAGAAAACACAACTAGAACAGGGATGATGGAAATGTTAGTTACATTGATTTATTTGGTGGCTTCAGGGGTATAAGTGTAATCACTAAAAGAATAGAAATCCAACGCATAGATCATTCAAAAAAGAGGAAATACAAAGAGAATATTGACAAGAAAGGAGAGAGTAAACAATGGAAAGAGGCTGGTAAAGAGAAAACAGAAAATAATGGTAGAAATGGGACTAAATACATCCATAATCACAACAAAAAAAATTTTTCAACAGCTAACAATTACTGACACTGGTTACTGCTCTAAGAACTTTATGTTATTTAGTTCCTACAATAACCCTATGATGAGATACTAATATCCTCAATGTTTTTACAGATAAGAGGACTAAGGTGTGGAGAGATTACCCAGGAAAATTGACGTGGCCCTTCCGCCCATCACACACAAATGAGCGGAAGTGCCAGGATTGGGACTCAGGTGGTCTGACACGTGCTTTTAACCACTATTCCAGAGTTAGATTAAACTTACCTACAAAGTCACTGAAAAATAGAGTCATGCTGCTTACATGTGATACTCTCAAAACTGTACCACAATGCTTGAAAATGAAGGTACTGAAATATATATCAATGGGAGCAATAATATTAATAGAAGGCAAAACTTAACTAAAAAGTGTCAAAAGGAATAATTTTGGCAATTGTCAACTTGTGTGTCTGTGACTGCATAACTTTGAAATATATAAAGCAATAACTAATCAAATTATAAAGAAAAATTCTTACAATTATGGATATATATGTGTGTGTGTGTATATATATGATGGAGTTTTGCTCTTGTCATCCAGGCTGGAGTGCAACAGCACGATCTCAGCTCACTGCAACCTCTGCCTCCCAGGTTCAAGCGATTCTCCTGCTTCAGCCTCCCAAGTAGCTGGGATTACAGGCATGTGCCACCATGCCCGGCTAATTTTTGGTATTTTTAGTAGAAACAGAGTTTCACCATATTAGCCAGGCTGGTCTCGAACTCCTGACCTCAGGTGATCTGCCCACCTTGGCCTCCCAAAGTGCTGGGATTACAGGCGTGAGTCACCATGTCTGGCTGGAGAGATATTTTTAATATGCTTTTATCAGAAATGAATCAATCAAGTAAATATCAGAAAATATATAAAATGTACAAAGAACAAACTTAGCAAGTTTTGTTATATATATATAAATAATATATAATGTATTTACATTTCAAAACAGCTAGAAAAGAGGTCTTGAAATATTCTCAACACATAGAAATGATAAATACTCAAGATGATGGATACCCTAAATGCCCTAACTTGATCATTGTATATTCTATCCATGTACCTCATAAATATCATGTATCAACACAAAAATTTTAAAAAGCAAAGTCTGAAGTGTATATAGCAACATGTTTAGTAAGGCTTGATAGTAAATACCACATCTTTCCTTAGGCTTATAATTTTATTTTTATTTTATATATATATATACATTTTGAGACAGAGTCTCACTCTGTCACCCGGGATGAAGTGCAGTGGCACCATCTCAGCTCACTGCAACCTCTGCTTCTCAGGTTCAAGTGATTCTCTTGCCTCAGCCTCCCAAGTAGCTAGGATTACAGGTGCCCTCCACCACGCCTGGCTAATTTTTTTTTTGTATTTTTAGTAGAGATGGGGTTTCGCCATGTTGGCCAGGATGGTCTCGAACTCCTGACCTCAGATGATCCACCAACCTCGGTCTCCCAAAGCGTTGGGATTACAGACATGCACCACCATGTTCGGCCTCCTTATGTTCATAATTTTATATTTAAAAATCAACTTAATTAAAGTATAGATGGTCCCCGCCTTACAATTGTGTGAAGGCAATATACATTCAGTAGAAACCTTACATCAAACATGCATACAACCATTCTGTTTTTTTATTGTCAGTTCTGTATTCAATAAATTACATGACATATTCAATACTTTATTATGAAATAGGCTTTCTGTTAGATGATTTTGCTCAACTGTAGGCTAATGTAAGTGTTCTGAGCATGTTAAGGAAGGCTAACTTAAGCTATGTTGCTCGGTACGTGAGGTATATTAAATACATTCTGAGTTCTGATTGGTTTATCGGGATATAACCCTATCACAAGTTGAGGAGCATCTGTATATGGGGAGTAAGAAAGTAGAGAAGGAAACTGTAGACCATTCTTTCAGGGAATTATGTAAGAAAGGATGGAGCATTGATTGATTAGATGTCATTATTGGATTGTAAAATTCTTGCTGTAAAGGAGTTTGTAGATGATAAATTCCCAAGTTTTACTATTGCTTACTGTTGAAAGAACTAATCACTTCATCTGCAGTGCCAATGTGTAACTTGTCAATGACTGTGAATGATTACATTCATGTAATCAATTTTCTTAGTTCTTTTGTGATGTTATAATACTTCAGACTAGTGAACACCAGAAATGTATTTCTTACAGGTCTGGAGGTTGGGAAGTACAAGATCAAGTTGCTGGCATTGTTTTCTGGCAAGGGCTCTTCTCTGCTTCCAAGATGGCACCTTGTTGCTATATCTTCATATAGCAGAAAAGCAACAAAAGTCTAAGCTATTTCCTTCCAGCCCTTTTATAAGGTACTAATTCATTCACGAGGGCAGAGCCTTCATGACCTAATCATTTCCCCAAAGGCCCCAACTCTTAAAACTACCACAATGGGCATTAAGTTTAAACACATAAATTTTAGGGACATTCAGACCTTTGTCTTCTCTGATAGTTTGTGGGTGATCATACAACCCACAGATCAGTGGATGTCCTCCTTTATTAGCACCTTCCCAAGTGTCTATTCTGCTGCCCACATATTCCCAAAGGACCAGCCTAGGAGCATAGCTCAATTCACCATTTCCTTGGGTTGGTTGACTGCAGTGCAGTTTGACTAGACTGAAGAATGCATCTTTCTCCTAACCCCAGTTCCAAATTTAGTCCTAACAAGACTAAAGAACTCTTAGTAAAACACGAAAAACTTTGTTTATGCATTATCTTGAAATAATATCTTGAATAAATATCTTTCCTAGTTGGCTGCCAGGGCAGACATTATAGATCATGTACCTGCTTGAAACATCATCTCTGTGCTTTCTTCTATTTAAGGAAGGAGTACTTTTACATTAAAAAAGGAGTCTGTGGAACACAGGGCTCACTGGCATCCTAAGAGCTGCTGAAGAATAGTAGGATTCATAGTCTGAAAACCAGTAAACCAGTGTCCCCTGTGATGGTGAGTACAGCTGTGGTCGTTCAGGTTGTGCTTTGTACAGTAGCACCTGGCAGGGTCTCTGCTCCTTCCTCAAGCTCTGTGTCTTGACTGGAAGGTCATGGAGCAGATGGGAACCATGTCAGTCTGAAATACAAGCTGGCTTTTTCTAATACACCCAATGACATCCTGAATTATCCCGATGGCCCTAATGTGACCATACCACAGTCATTAGAGTTTGGTGAAATTGATTCCAGTACTGCCATCACCTCGCAGCAAGCACACAGGCCCTTTCTGTGTTATTCTCTGCAGTATCAGAACTCAGGATTGCCCACAAATTGACCCAGCAACATGCTGTCACTGAACCTTAGTAAGCTTTGTGAGTCGTCTCTAAAATAGTTTGCTCTAACATAATTAGAGTGTGTGCAGTACCAAATATATCTGATTTGGAATCATCAAATTTAGTCCAAATCCCTTCTTGTTGCCAACATCCAGATAACCTTGAACACATTTCTCAACCTCTCTACTTTTAGATTCTTATCCTGTAAAATGGCCACAATTACAGTAGTATTTCACAGATTGTATTTGAATTAAAATGAGATAAAGAGAATGAAAACCATGTTGTAAACTGTAAATTTGATATACATATAAGTTGTTATTAATCGCTACTAAAAAACTCTCCACCCCACCCCACAACCAAGTGAAATTAATTTTCCTGAGATCATACTGTTATAGAACATATGCAGTCATAGAAATACCGTAGATATTGTAAAATTCCATTCAATTTATCCAACTACAAGAATGACCTATCGTAACTAGTTTTTTTATAGTGCATTTAATGTGTTTTACGGCACACCTGTGTCTTTGATTCTCACAATTATTCTGTGAGGTGGGTGATATTGTTGCCATTTTGCAAATGTGGAAACTGAGCCATAGAGCAATAAAATGGCTTGCCCGAGGCCACACAGCCAATAAATGGTAGGGCTGCAACAGCCTGAGCCTTCCAAGTCCTCCTAGGTTCTTTCAACTACACCACACTTTTCTTCAAAGTATTCTTGAGTCTGTCCCTTTATAGCAAGAATTTTCCAGAACAAATAGGACGAATGGACTCAAACTATAAGTAGTAGAAAACTACTTTCCTAAACTGAATTTTCCGCTTCTGTTTCTGGAAAGATTTTGATCTTCCTCTGCACTCTGCAGTTGTCAACGTGAAAGGATTTTTTCTTTGAACTTTAAGTATTTCTGCATAAATAAAGAGAGCCTTCAATAGCTAACGTCTCCAGAACTCTCAAAAGAAAGCTAAGGGCTTACTTCCTCTACCAGATCATTATACTTTATTACACTGTAGAGCACCCATTTTGAACAACAGTTTTGTAAGAAAATATTGCCCGTCCTATCACTCCTTAATGTTGTTGATTGCTGCTAATGAAAGGAAAAAAAGGTTACCAGATATATTTCAATACTGCAATCACACAAGATAGGGATCTATGGTTTTGGGGACAATATGATAACCATTGGTGTAATTAAGGGATCAGGTTTGAACTCAGGATTTATTACCTACAGATTGCTGATCTTGTCTCTCTAATTCTTACAAAAATCAATCCAAGACTGAATAATGCTAACATTTAGATCTATCTTGGATTGCAAAGGTTTCTGTTTATGATTTTAAAACAATGTATTGGCATGAGAACAAAACACCACTCTTGAACTCCCTTGGGCTAAAGAATTTTTTGTGTCTCAGTGCTTCAGGTCTGACTTCACATTATCAGCTTTTATGGCTCTAGATTACAATTCATCCTTACAAATGAAGCAGTTATTTGATCCATGGCAAGTTACATGGCTATAAGAAAATCCTGTTGTTATGCTTAGCAAAGAGCAAAAGCAGTAGAGTGCAGAAGTAGCACTCCTGTCTCAAAGCAAGGAAGAGCTTACAAAAACAAAACAAAAAGACCTGGACTGATATACCTTTAAGAAACAGACAAAAGAAGATAAATTGAAGATCACATTCTTCATCTATCAAGCACTATGTCTCGCCCTGCACACCGAAGACCAGAATACCATAAAATAGTAAGATCTTTCTATAAAGAGATTTTTTCTACTTCAGAGAAAATGTTTTCTTGAGTGATTTCTGATTTATTTTAAAAAGTGATGCTACAAGAATTTTTAGTGGAGGAAAGAGAGTGTTCAGCGAGGTGAATCATAAATGACACATCCAGGAATAATTATGATTATCTCCCACATAAAGAATAATCAATTCTTTATACAGACTTTAAGATCTTCTTTTCTGACTAATTATATCCATACGAGTGTCAATTTTTTTGCCTCTGACAGAAAATATGAAAATATTAGCAATTTTTTGTATTTCATACTTCAGGAAATAGGAATTTATATATATATGTATGTGTATATAGGTATATATATGTGTATATATATGTGTGTGTATATATAGTTGATTATGTGTAAAACTGAATAGAAATAGGTCATCAAAAAAGGATTGCCTTTAAAAATGTTTCCTAGTCTTATTGTAACTTGGTATATAATATTATCCTTTCTATATATTCCAGGTTAAGAGTTATTTATAAACCTTACTTTTTTGCAAATTAGTTTTAAATAACGTTCTTTAATACTCTCTTAGTTTTAGCCATTCAGAAGCTACAGATACAAAAACTCATTGTTAACTTTAAAATTCTGTTAATTATTTCAGGAGACTGATGGGCATTTGATATAATTAAGTAATTTCAGACTTGGTGTTTAGAATTGTAATGACTAACTAGCGTACTTCAGTTTGAAATGCCTGCGGATACCTCCTCTGGCATTCTGGTATCTTGATTTATTTTCCTGTGGGACTCTCAAGTGCTAAAGATATATGGTACATACTTCCTATTATACCAAAATCACTTGATTTTATAACGCAGTTAAAATGTATTTTTATCCTGATACATTCATAACCTACTGAAATAGTTAATGATGTTCTCTCAGATATTCACATGATTATTTTTATTGTTTTAAAAACTATGAAGATAAACTTATGTTGACCTTTCCTAGCATCTGTGGTATGGATGTGAGACCCAACTGAACAGGCAGTTCAAGGTACAGTCCTTGGCCATGAAGTGGAATAGAGAAAGCTGGCCTTTATGGGTACTGAACCAGAAACTCAGCTGGAAATAAAATAGGTTTCAATATATACTAGTGCCCACCCATCAGGGACAGAGAAGAAATTCCATTATTTCAGTTTGGCCTTAATTATAAATGGACACAATGTTGGGACCATGGCATGTAGGTAGGGTAGAATTTTTTTTACTTTTATTTTTTTCAGATTCTTTTGTTTCACTGGTAGTTACAACAATCTCATTCTCTCTCTCTCTCTCTCTCTCTCTCTCTCTCTCTCCCTCCTTCACCTTTGCTTATCTTTATGCTGTAGCATTAGTACGTGGCAGCACTTTGTCTTCTGCTGTGGTTCTTATATGTTGAGCAGACTTTTCATTGATAATTTACCGGCATTTCTTGTGATTTATTATTAGGTTCTTGGAAGAATCCTAAGTCAAACCTAAATTGTCTTAAGCTTTAGTTTTCATTTATAATTTACTCTAAAAATGGGACATATTTTGGAGATCTATAAGGAAATATCACTTTCCCCTTTTTTTCTCTAAGTAAAAAGAAAAGAAACTCACAAATTTGCTGCTACATTTGGGTTTATCCTGAAGGTCTCCTTGGCAGATCTGGGAGCCATTAGGGATTGTGCAGACTCCTGAGAAGTCTTATCCAATTATTCCTTCCAACTGAAAACATGGCTGGCATATATTTTAGAAAAACAGAAATTTATGTTAGACATTAGTATTTTTAAAAAACTGTCCTCCATGAAAATACATTGCAAGTTATCATGTAAGCAAATGCAGAGAAGGATGTTGTCATGTTGAGAAATTCATTTTATTTAACAGCTCTCTCTCCCCCACCCCACATCAATGTATCCAAATGTTAATATAATTTGTTTTCAAAAGTGCGAATTGTTGCAAATAATAGGAGGAAGGAAAAATTGTACGGATGACCTCTAAGGCTACTTCAAACCAGATTTTGTAAAAAAAAAGAAATACAGTAGTATACTGTCATAACTTGCCTGTAACAAGAAACTACCCCTTTTTCTCCAGAATAAAGATCTCTTTGTCCTTACCTATGGAGCTCTGGTTGCCCAGCTGTGTAAGGATTATGAGAAAGATGAAGATGTGAACCAATATTTAGATAAAATGTAAGTGGAAGTCCTTCATTCTTATTGACTGTCTGTTGTTTCTTACGTCACCTGCATTCTTGCTGCCTCTGATGACTTCCCTTGCTTCATTTCACCAGCGGTTCTTCTATCTCAATTAATCACATCTGAAAGCTGAACATAATTTCTTACAAGTGCCATTTGGGTTGATAGAATAAAGTAATAGGAAGGAATTTTTTCCTACAAATATCAAGAGTGGGATGTTTTCTCTTTAGTTAGAAATCATTTCTTAAGTGACTGAAGAGTTGCTTATAAGCAAAATATGTGGTAAAATTGAAATTGTTCTATTAACAACATGAGGGAACATCAAATTTTATTCTTTTCAGAAGTCTTTTGTTCTAACACAACTCCTTCCAATATAAATATATGCTTACACAAGCACAGACCATCTATTGAAAGATATGCAAGAAACTCGTAATGGTAGTTTCCTAAGGGGAAGATGGAGAAAATGGGAATTATGAATTAAAGGGGAGTTTATTTTGTTTGAGATAGCATTTTTATTGTTTGAATGTTTTTTAATCCTTACTATGCTTTTCTTAAAAAACACATTAGGTAGAAAAACTCACTTCTTCCTTTTTAAATGAGACCCATTCTCTTTGTCTTTATTATTGGAGATTCCTCCTGCACAAATTCTACCTTTTGATTTTCTCTGAATAACTATGTGATCATCAGATGACTGCCAAACAATAAAACATCTGTCAATGGTTTTTGAGCTTCTTAATTATAAACTCTGAAGAGGACTCGAACAGAGGAAAGACTGGAAAATGTGTACTGGTTAGAAGATTTATCTAGGCAGATTGAAGGGGAAATTTAGCCTAACATTTTAGAGCTTTTTAAAAGGGTTCATTGTATTTTCAGTTGAAATACAGAAAAAGACAGCATAAAGATTGAAAATCTTTTTAAAAAACTCTCATTTTTCTTCTTTCTGTATGCATATTATTTTTCTTTTTAAAAAGTTCTAATTTATTTTGTACACATGCCTTTTTTTTTTTTTTTTTTTTTTTTCTTGGCATTTCCACTTAATTAGTCAAGGGCATTCACAAAGAAGAGAACTGCCCAACTGTCCACCTATAGATTTCTCGGTCACTTCGTTAGCTGAATTGTCTATAGCTATGAGGAATGTTAAGGTTCTTTTACACTAAGGTCACACTTAAATATCTGACATAGTATTTCCAGAAATTACTTCATTTTATTTGACTTATGTTAAACTTGCATTGTTTTGTGAAAAAGCTGTGAATAATAAAAAAAAGCTCACTTATTTGACTAAAAAAATACCTTCGGTTAGCTAATTGAGTATACATTTAACAAACATGAATGAAATATTAAAGAATAAATTTTTGAGAAGCTGCAGAAAGATCTTTCCTTAAGAAAAAAATTCACATTTAGATTTCCTTAATAGCTTCTGCTGAGAGCCTCTTACATTTTTAATTTATAAAATATCTAGTTTGCAGAAACATACCTTTTGACCAAAGCAATATGTGTAGATATAGCACAGCTCATTAACATTTTGGCTTCTGACCACTGTTCCCAGTTGCTGAGCTGTGGATATGCAAAATGATAATTAGAAAACACTGGAAATATTTTTTAATCCTGATACAACTATTTCTGTAGAGTAGACATGTTGATTTTTAAAAGTCTTTGCAGCGTGAGCTTCTTGGCTGAAATTATAAACCATTTTTCTCTAAAGTCAAGGAAGCTAAACTGAATATTTCTATCCACTCAGAAATATAAATAGGATATCTCACAAGATTCATTGAATTCATAAGCACTCTCACATCAAATCTGTCTCCCTCCAACCACCTAGTCACCAAAGATTTCATCTCTTTTTAGAGCCTCTGGAGTAATCATTGCCTCTGAACACTGTGGTGTCTCATTGGGCATTTTGTGGCTCCACTGGAAATCGTTTCACTTGTCTATGTACATGTGGCTGTGAAATTAAAAGACCAATTTTGTGATAGAGGTTTGGCAAAAACAGCGTTCCATTTGATTTCCACTTGAAGGTCACATTTTCTCAGCTAGATTGCATGTTCTTATAAGACAGAGACTCTGACCTTTCTTTGTATCCTTTTGGGAAATTTAGTCGTTTCTCAGTTTATCTTGTTGAAAGTGTGTGCTCAGCCACCTTAGCTACATATTCAGTGTGTGTATAATCACATCTCAATCGCAGGTTCTCAAAATTGTACTTCAGGCACTACTAGAGCTATTTTCTTGGGGTGGAGATAATACAATACCTTCCCCCAAGTCCCATAGTTTGTTTCCCTGGAATGAAAAACGAGGTTTTTTTTCTTAGTAAACTTCAGAGTCTGAAGTTGCCGAAACTTTCACTGACAACAAAAATTTTTTCTGCTCCTTTCTTCCCCTCCTTCCAGAGCTCATCCTGGAAATGCCTGCCCTTCTACCCTGATAACAATGCTAAGAGAAGAGCGAGCATCCGGGTATCACACATGTAGCAGACACTTTAGCTAGACTCTCATTTGATTTCCATCATAGCTAATGATGAGAAAATTAGTTGCCACTGAGAAATATTAGGCTACAGACCCCAGCCTTCCTTAATTTTAATTTACATTGTCAAGTTTGGGCCAGTCTTGATTCTAGGCAGACTATTCTGCTTGTAGGAGACCAGTTAATATTTCCTCGGTGTGTTACTCTCTCCTTCTGTGGTCTGTGGGACGAATAAGAAGCCCACGACCAAAAGCCATTTGACTCATCATATTTGGTTTGATTTGTGATTCTCTTGCACAAGTGCTAAACACACAAATCCCTTCTTAAAAACTGATAGACTTCACTAATTTCTTAGAATTTTCAGACCACACTCTTTCCTTCATCCACAGGGGTTACGGCATTGGAACACGGCTTATAGAAGACTTTCTGGCTCGATCCTGTGTGGGAAGATGCCATAGTTATTCAGAAATTACAGACATAATTGCCCAGGTAACTATGTTTTTAGCTCTGTCAATATGTCTTGAAAATCTCTGATTATTTTTAAGTTTGGTGGTTTTTCTGCTCAGATTGGACAGGTTCCATCTGCATTCATTGTTAGGTGCTGAGAAAGGAGATTCTAATTGAAAAGCATTTTATTTCAGCACAGAGATAAAGCTACTGTGAACTGAAAGATGCATTTAAGCAACTATAGATTTTCCTGACTACAGGAGTGTGTAGAGTGTATGTCTTCTAGTGGGAAAAGCATTTTCAGAAGGTAAACAAAAGGGGAGTGCAATAGGGCAACCTTACAACATGCATGCCCCAAACCAGTTTCTCTATGATCATTTTCAGCACATGGAGGGAGATGGTTTTTGGTTGTATCAGAGAATATTGTTTAGTCATTCCCAGAGTATTTTCCCAAGAGAAAAATAGAACTTCCTGTAAATATATTTGTTCTAAGAACTTTCATAGCCCTGATATATAGAAGACAACTAGGAATTATCCAGGATTAGCTCACTGTTATTAGAAATTCAACTGGAAAATGCGTCTTCAGCCAGCATTTAAAAAATCTTGGCCTATGGTTATTAATGTAGTGTTGTTAATTTGTAGGAGACTCAGAAGATACACATGTCTCCAGGTTTACACAACTGACCAATTAAGTCAGTCTCATTTTTTTTTTTCTTAGTCCTTAATATTGTTATATATGGCCGAACTGACTCTGTGCATGAATGGCTGTCATTCTATACCATCATGCTTTCTGAGCCTAAATTCAGTTTTACACCTCTTTGTCTTTCATTGTCACAGTAACCCTCTGAAGTAGGCAGAACTGGAGTTACTATCCCCATTTTCCAGATAAGAAAATTAAGTTCCAGAAATAATATGATGAACAGTAAATAATAGTATATGTAGGAAAAAATTCTACATTAAAAAATACAATCCAAATGAAAGATTTTTCCATTTACTGATATTATTACTTGTATTATTTCATGGCTAGTGAATAATGTGGTTGAAACTGTTATCCGAGTATCTTCCAACCTTAGCGCAGTGAGTTTATCACACCACTAACCAGGTTGGGGAAAAAAGTCCCTTTCTATATTGTCAGAATATAAGTAAGATCCCAAAACAGTAGTTTGAAAAATAAAACATTTTTTAATGAAACTAATTACATGGGCAATACTACAAGAATAACAGCTGTTTTAATGGAAAGTAAATACTTGTAATATATAAATGTAGATGGTTGTGTTTTGTTGCATTTCTAGTCGGTAGCCCTTTAGGCTCTTTGATTAGTAAGACACAGTCTTTCTATAATGAGGATAATTAGATTGGTTTGAGAATGACTCCCTCTTGATCTTTGCCAAAATTCATCCCATTAGCTTAGTGTGGGCAAATCACTTGAGCTCAGGAGATCAAGACTAGCCTGGCCAACATGGTGAAATCCCATCTCTACAAAAAAATACAAAAATTAGCCGGGCGTGGTGGCACAGCTGTAGTCCTAACAACTCAGGAAGCTGAGGGGTGGATGACTTGAGGCTGGGAGGTGAAGGTTACAGTGAGTCGAGATCATTCAACTGCACTCCAGCGTGGGTGACAGAGTGAGACTTGTTTCAAAAAAAAAAAAAAAAAAGAAAAATTTAAGACTTTGTCTTGCAAATTCACAAGGCAGTAGAACATTGACCAATAATCTGAAAACTTTTAGAATGTGGAAAATAAAACCTGACTCGTGTGTTTAAGGTTGTTTGTTAGGCTTTGAACATTTGAAGAAAATAATTTCAAGGGCGATTTGGAGACTTCATTCTAAAGATATGTTAGCACAACTAGCAAAAATTTTTATTCTTCTGGATATGTTTGTATATGTATGGTAAACATCTTTTTCCATTTATTAATGTATTCACTTATTTATTTAAGAGGATGATTAACAGAACAAAAGAAAATCTGTTGAAAAAAGAGCAGTAACCAACTGGCAGTAGAGGCATATACAACCTCATTGCTGAGAATCTGGAATTACATTCTGTCACACGATGTAGGGTCAGAGATCATCTGAAATATGCTCTATATTGTAAATGCCCTTGGCCCAGAGAATATTGGCTGACCCAGTTAGAAATAGTGCAGTGTAATAGGAGGATTCTCTGTTTTTTTCTTACTGTCTATTCTTGGTGCTGAGGGCACCATCCAAATCACTGCAAAGCTTCTGAAGGAACTCAGAAGAGATAATTCCACATATTCACTTTAATTAGAGGAACATAAAGGAACAAGGCTTCTCTAGTAGAAAATAAAAACGATAACTTTTAAAAATTAGTGTCATTAAGTTCAAAATAGCTGCTAACAAATATCCCATATAAATCCTTCCCAGAGGTGTCTAAGAAGTCTCATGTAAAACTTCCTTGTTACTTGTGGTCCTCAATCAGGATATTTCTCTATTAGCCGCAGGAAAATTACAGAGCTGAAAGTCAAGTTAAATATGCCAATAGGAAGTACATGTTTATGTGGGGTGTAATGTAGGCCTTCTTACTGGGTAGATACTCAATAAAAATTAGTTGAAAGAAAAGAAAAGAAAAGATGAAGGGAAGAGGGGAGGAAGGAGGAAGAAGGAATCAAAGCAGTCTTTTGTTCACGCCCCTTGGGAAGTTGCTTTTCTTCTCCAAGAGGTAGCCTGGGAATGCTCCTCACCTTGCCCAACACATTCAAGGGCTCCTCGGGTCCCTTCCATGAGGAACTCCTCACTTTACCTGACAATGAAGTCTTCAATACGTGGAAATAGAACAAGAGTTCTCTCAATGCTCCAGATTAAAAAAGAAAAGGTTGAAGAGGAATCAAGTAAGAAATGTTCTATGGAGAGCATAAGAAAGAAAATGAATTCGTATCTCAGCAGGAAGAGACCCATGAAAAAAATCCAGAATGTTCCCCATTTAGAAATTATATTCAAAAATCATATTCTGTCTTTAAAAGAGTAAAGAAGCTTCTAACGAAATTTGACCTCCTAATGGTTCACAATTTTCACCAAGTTAGAAACAAGTCTGTTTGATTCTCCCCTATTAGAAACATGTACAACATCCGCTTTCCAAATATCCCTTCTCTAAGCTTTTCATGTCTTATCAACCATTCTGATGAATTCCTTCCTGTGTCTTCTGTCCTCAGTGAACAGGAAAAAGATCCACTTCCACTCCTATGCAAGATTCTTTCTTGTCAATGAGGAGAATATTCATCACCTTCACCCTTCTCTAGTGTAGGACAGTTGTCCCTGCTCTTTGCACCTTCCTTCAAAGGCCTGATGTCCTTCCTCTTAATCATTTTTACCTCTCCAGCAAAATGTTTCTTTACTTGTAGCAATAATGTCACCCATTTAAGAAGCATTTTGACAAAGATGAAAGGTCGTATTTTAGTTATGGACCTGCCCACTGAGGCTTTGTTAATAATTAGCAGCTTTCATTCAAACGTCGGGCCTGTTGGCAGCATTATCTCATTAATCCTTGTAAACTCTCCTCAGAGGAGGCAGATGTCAAATGATACAGTCAGTTTTACAGAGAACTAGGCCAAGTTCAGAAGAAGTTTACTGTAGTCACATGCTGCTCCCAGAGCATGGCAGAGTCAGGAATAGAACCTAATGGCTGTAAAATTTGTTTGGCTGCCCTCTCAGACCACACACTTCTACCGAACACCATTATCATCCTTCTCAAGTACTGAGCAGCTAGAGACCATGGCAGCCATAGAACTCATGATCTCTGTCCTGTCTTCAGGGAAGGAAAGAGGGAGAAGGAATGCGTTTAAAGAGAATTGTCTAGATGAAGAAACCTATGCCCAGACAGGAGAAGTGATCCCTGCCTCCGAGTTAGTAAAAAGACTGCGGCCGGGCGCGGTGGCTCAAGCCTGTAATCCCAGCACTTTGGGAGGCCGAGACGGGCGGATCACGAGGTCAGGAGATCGAGACCATCCTGGCTAACACGGTGAAACCCCGTCTCTACTAAAAAGTACAAAAAACTAGCCGGGCGAGGTGGCGGGCGCCTGTAGTCCCAGCTACTTGGGAGGCTGAGGCAGGAGAATGGCGTGAACCCAGGAGGCGGAGCTTGCGGTGAGCAGAGATCCGGCCACTGCACTCTGGCCTGGGTGACAGAGCCAGACTGTGTCTCAAAAAAAAAAAAAAAAAAAAAAGACTGCATGTAGGAACAGGTTTCCTGAACTTACGCTGCACTCTGCACGCCTCTGCCCTTGCGAGAGAAGGACTGTGTCATAACATTCCTCTCTATTGTTCTCCTCACTTGTTTTTTTCTTCAAAGAGGAGGTCGGTCTGTCATTAGGCCTCTGTCGATGTCTTTTAACATGTAGTAGACCTTTAGTTGCGCCATCTAGTGGTCCGAAAAGAAATCCCATGGCAAGGGCCAAATCATTGAAGGCAAAAATCTTTAGTTCGCCTTGCATTTTATATATATAAAAAAGATGCCAAGCTAATTATAAAGTCTAGTTCCCACAACATTAAGATGCATCCATTTTTAAAACAGAATTTTATCGTATACAACAACTTTTTGTGGTGGTTACTTCAAAGTACAACTACAAATATTAAATAAGACTAATTTATTTTGAAAATTAATAAGTCAGCAGCATTATAACACGATATTGAAAAACTTTAATAGCATTGATATTTTCTTTATAAAAGTTCAAAGTAACTCCTACCTATTGCCTGTATTTCCCTTATAAGAACCTTGTGAAATAAAAAGAACATCTATCATCTGTCATTAGCCCCATTTTACTGATAGTATAATTGAGACTTATATGCTATCACGGACACAGTAAGAAAACCCAGCTTAGAATTTAGTGCTTCTGACCTTATTCTAGTGTTTTCTCCATGAACTAATTGTTTAAAATGTATCTTTAAAGATTTTTTTCTACTATGATAATTGTTCTGAGAAAAATTTTGTAGTTGGTCTAAATGAAAATGTGTAATATGCAGTAGAATTACCATAGCTGATTTTAGTTGTAGTAATGAAACATTAGATAATTTAACTTACACACCTGTA